AAGAAAAAGGATTTCTTATGTATATATTAATATTTTATATATACATATATATGCACATGCACTACATACATGAGTTAACTTATTGAGTTATCACTCACTTATATGTTTGTGGTGTAGCCAATACGAGTAAGAAAGGTGTTCATGACCTTTGAGCTTACTACCGAGGGATCTACTCGTTGCGTATACGTGGGATGTGGTTGGCTATGGATCTTATTCACACGATAGAGATCATTGTACTCGGGTATTTTGGTTTACATTTTAGCTATGTCAATCTTATTTTATGTAATAGTTAAAACAATAAAATGGTAAATGAAAGAATAAAAGCAAGGAATGGCATAGTAGTAAATAAGTCAATTTTTTAGTAGTTGGCATAAATATGGTTTTGGATGTAAATAGTAGATGTATGTGATAGAACTACTAATGGAAAAATTATAGTGTATTAGTATCAATGTAGTTGCTTTAAATTACCACTCGCATGCTAGTATCCTTAGGATATTAAATAAATTATTTAAACACTCGCCAAATAAAAAGAATAATAAATAAGGAAGAGAATCAGCAATATATATATATAAAATTATAACGTCCTTTAATTAAAATATAGGACCTAAATGTTATTAAGAGACTTCCGTTGCATAACTTCACCTAGATAAAGTATAGATAGGTCATAGTACCTTGTTAGCTTACATTTATTGCACTTCGAATATGGGTTAACAACGATAATATTTGCGAGCCTATTAGGTTCTAAGTTAGGGTTGTTACACATGAAATATCTTAAAGATACGATGAGTGTAAATATTAGAAGGATGCAACCTATGAAAATAGATATTAAATAAAATTTAAATGAATGCACAATTATAGTAATACATAAAAAAAATATTTGATAAAATTATGCATAAAACATACTCCTTGCGACCAACAATAATGATCGTAATTTGAGGATCGATCATAGATCCGATAGGTGTAGAATTTAATTTGGGAGGGATGTTTCACGATAAGCCATGTTCGGGAATATGATGGTCATCCTGTTGGACCAAAGACACTCATAACAATAAAGGGTAAGATGGGTGGGGATTTGGAGTTCCAAAATAAAGCGACTTAGGTTGAGACATGTCAAATGTTGATGGGGTTGACATGGGACGACCAAGAGGGTAGTACGAAGGCATGTCGATTGGGGAAGTCATTTGACTAGGAACGAAAGCGGGACTATGCCCATTACCATGGTCACTCGCCATCGTCGGTGTCTAAACCAAGACCTTCACCATATGACATGGGCCACTGCATGTGGAAACGTTTCTTACCACGATGCATTATAACCTACATATATAAGTAAACTACAATACTAAAATTCAAACTCTTAATCTCATGAATGGTCGTTGTATAAGGAGTTTACTTACTGTTATACTAATGCATTTATTTATTTTTATAAAAATATAAAGGTTAATAGGTTATACTACACTCTTTGACAAAAAAGCATTATCACTACACTTTATGCATTTTATGAAAAGTTTACATATCTCTATAACAATCAGTTTATTGATGAATTACTTACTAATTTAAAAACATGGCAATTTGACTTGTTATTTTGAAAAGACAAACAAAATAGTGGTATTAATTGATTGTTGTTTATTGTCATTGATGCGAGACAACAAAATTATAACTTACTTCCATCCATACACTCGGATGACTAACGGTAAAATTAATAAATTCATTAATCCTATCTATCAAACGCTCATTTAAAAGTCCATCGGTTAATCAATAGTCAATCCATGAACGATCCGGATTTATTTTAAACTAAACCATCGCTAATGTTTTCAAAAATTTCGAAAAGAGTTGTTTCCCTCTAATGGTCAAAAATTGGCGACGGTTTTTAAAACTTTCACTAATTTTTCGATATTAGCAATGGTTTGCTTCCGCATTAATAAAAAAAATAAAATTAGCGATAGGTTAAAAAACCATCGCTAGTTTTGGAAAAACATGTCATATAGCGATGATTTTGAAAAACCATCACTATTTGCTTCTAAATTAATAAAAATAAAAAAATAAAATTAGCAACAGATTCGAAAATCGTCGTTAATTTGGGAAAAAAATGTCATATAGCGATTTTGAAAAACTATTGCAATTTGTAATGGTTTTTTCAACCGTTACTAGCCCTTTTAAAATTGCTTGATAGCAACAGCTTTTTTCAAACAATCGCTATGTTTTGTTTATTTGGGACGATTTAGAAATTTTCACTAATGTCCCATCACCAAATTCTATTTTTGTTGTAGTGAATAGTTTAAACACAACTCCCATCCAATTCATAATATCACAACTTAATTAGTCAATATTTCTTAATTTCAACTAAAAAAATAATTCCATAATACCTATACATGTCCAATATAATAATCATAATCAACTTAACACTACTCTAAAAAATATAACTGCAGAGCCTCTGAGAGTGTAAAATAATATCAAAGTATAAGTTTAAAATATTATAAATAAATGAGTCACACGATCGGTAAGCGACCTTGTGGAAGTCAAAAGGAAATCTCGAAGCCCTGCGAAACCGAAGTAATTGGATGTGAACAAAACAACAACTCAATGAATAGATATTATATAACATAAGAGGGAAAATCGACAAATGGACGATAATTCAAAAGTCGCACAAGATGCAATGCATATTTTTCAAAATCAAATATATATTTTAAATATCAAATCGCATCTCATAATTCAATTTGTTCAAACTCATAATCGAAATTTCACATTAAAATACATCTAATCAATTAAATCATATCAAGTATCAAAAATATACACCTAGGGTGATCACATTATATTGTATAATTGGATGCAAACATCCAAAGGCTATGCCATCCATAGCTAGGTATACCTTATGTTAGCTAACACACGAGCTAGCACTATATCTCTCTTGTTAGTCGGAGTATTTTTGTATCAATGAGCTAACAAGCTATGCTCGCCGTAGCTAGATACCTTAAGTAGTCAAACAAATTGAAAATAAAATATACTTACATACATTTCAAAAATCTAATACCAATATATCTAAATATAATTTATGCTCAAAATCAAATTTGATAATACAATTCAACATCATATCTCAAAATCAAAGTCTAAGCTTAAATACAAACTCATATTCAAGATTATAAATCAAATACTTACTTAAATTATACGAACAAAATCAAAATCAAAATCTTAATCAAAATAGTAATTAAATTCATAGAATTAAATCAAACTATAAGTGAAGATCTTATTTCAAACACATAATCATGTCCTTTTTAAATGGATATCGAATCATTTCAAACTTCCACAAGGAGTCCGTTTTCATTTAAGTTCTAATGGATATGATTATGAAATAATTAAATCAATTTACATGATGAAAATATCAAAGAAATTTAAAAACGGGTTATGTTATATGCTAGCATCACGAGTGTAATTAAATGATCAAACGAAGTCAAAGTTGTTGAGATGGAGTCACCCGTTCTAAAAAATCTAATGATACAAAATGATAGAATAATCATTAGTATCACATATTGAAGAATAATTCAAAAGCAAATGAATTATTCTAAAACTTAGAATACAAGAACAAAATTTATCAAAAAAACTCAAATTGAGGATTTTTAACTAAACTATCTCAAGTTCATTCTACAATCTTTCTCTAACAATTCAATTTATACTTTATTACAATCAATTATCCATCATCAAATTTCTATTCAATTTTCACATAATTTGTCTCTATAATCCATCATCAATTTTCAATTCAATTTTTACACAATTTCTCTCTACAATCCATCATTAATTCCTACTTCAATTTTTACCCAACTTACCTTAACAATCCATTATTAATTTCATTTTATTTTTCACACAACTTATCTCTACAATTCATCATCTCGACCAACTTGAAATTTCTCAAAGCCATGGTCCAATAATTAGTTTCACACCATCATTATCTCATTTCAATCATCAATTAGCATAATTTATTGTTAAATTATCAAATCCTCAAATTCAATTCAACGCATAACCGTAACCTAACTCAATTTTTATTCAAACAACAAACTCAATGTAAAACAACTCTAAAATACTTAATAAACACATATAATCATCTTTATTTTAAGATTAAATGACAAATTTTCACCTTTGACAAATGGATCTTCAACTCTAATTTCTACCTTCAATTCCTACGAGCCTCCCAAACTTTTATATAGCTTAATATCACTTTAATCATCTTGCTTTTACGATTTTCTAGAGTATTTGGGCAAAATTTTTGCATAAAAAAATAAAAGGAGATAGAGGAAGTAGATAAAATGTTTGGGTGAGAAAGAAATGAGAAGAAATAAAGAAATGAGGGACTAAATGGGACTGGCTTGTTTTTCTTAACAAGCTGCCCATAATTTATTTGTTTCAATTTTTCTTTATTTTTTTTAAATTCTTATTCTTATTCTTTTACAAGGGTGGGTGCTAATTTTTATTTTATAATAAATTTCAGATTTTTAATTTATACTAAAAATTGCAATTACCTCTAATTAACTTGATAACTATTTTTATCCCAAAAATATATAATTTATTAACTTAATCTTATTTTTAGGTCGAGTTTATTACAACTTTGCGGTTTGTACATTCGCACACTTGTTGTTAATTTTAGATTTGTTGATTATTGATTATGTAATTGTTTAAATATTAACTTTCAGTTATTATATGTCATAAGTTTGCATTCAAATCTTAGTGTAATTAGTAGTTATTTTTTATTCAAGTATTTAAATATTATTTTTAGGTTCAACAATAGTACAACCCTCTTTAAAAATCTTAACCATCTAATTCAGAATTCAGAAGATAGACTGTCTTTCAACTATTTTACAATCTTTTTAATTTGTCTCAAAATCCTCTTAATTGAGGTTTGCACAAAAGAATCACAACAATAACAAATGACAAATTGAAAAAAGAAGAAGATATATTCACCAAACAAAACGCATGCATAATTGCAAAAATAGTTGATTTTATTCCGGTTGATGCTATATGTATATGATCGAGCAAGAAGGGTCCTGATAATGGTTGGATGGGTAATGGATGTAGGTGTGAGGCGTGCCACCACCATACATGGACCAGACAACAGGCTGCACTTTTGCCTCTTCTTTTTTCTCTTCTTTCTTCTCTCCTCCCACATCTGCCACGCTTACTAAATCAGCATAGCCCATTTTCTTTCTCAGCAAAATTGTGAGTTTGGCTACATCAACTCCATCTCCTACTACCTCTATCTGGCTCTTATCTTGCCCTCCAATACCGGCAGATTCAACCCCTACAGAATGACAAAAAAATATAAAAACCCATCAACAAATTGATCATCTGAATTTACCCAAAAATGCATGTTTTCTATCAGGTGTTACAATTCTCAAACTTGGGTGTATGGTAGGTTTTTTTAACCTGAAAACCCAACTGCAATCTTCAAGGCTTTGGAGCGGGACTTCTGGCCATTCAGTGTCACCTTGATCACTACCTTTTTCTGCAATATTTTAGCATAAATACTAATCATTACAAAGAAAGTAATATACCTGTCTCTTTTATTTTTTTATGAACAAGTGATATTTTATACTTGTGTTTATGATCACAAATTCATACCTTCATGGTCTTGATTGTTGGAGATGATAAAATGTAGGGAGTGAAGAGCTCTTCCGAGTTCAGGAGACTACAGAAGTGATGGTTTTGATTTTGTAGGGTTTTGAAGAAACAGGGGAGAGCGTAAACAAATGGTATTGTTGTTTCGAAGATGTGAAGTCTGTGAGGCAGTTTCTGCTATTTATGGAGAGTCTTTGGTTAGAGCTTGCTTGAGGAGATTTCTATGCAAGTTCAAGGAACCTAAGGTTCTGATTCTTCTTTGAGTTTGACGAAGTAAACATATGACACTTCGTGTGGGGTTGTGCTTATCAATGGCCTAGCCTGCCTCAGCCCCCAAGAAGACTGACAATTTTAGAAGGAATAAGTAGAAGAATTAAGACAAGCAGGTTGGATTTATTACAACAGACGCTTAGTCTAATCCCCGTACAGGGCTTGTTGTTTTTGTGATTGTTTACTATCCACTGGTCATCTTTCATGCGATATCGAGGAAAGAGTCTGTATATTAAGTCAATTTCTATTCTACAATAACACTTAATTGTTCCTCCTGAAAGCGATGCCAGAGAAAAGGGTAGGGCCTCCAAAATGTGAACGCTAGAAAAATCAGCATGGAAGTTTGAAAATGAAGCACAACGCGCATTTTTTAACACCTTCTTTTACATTTATATATATTAGAAAAGATCGACAAACAGAGTTCTAAATTGGTGTTTAAATGATTTCTGATTAGTCCAACGCGGAAATTTTCTCCACGAGGAAATAAGGGCAGGCAAGGAACAAATTACCTAATTTATGATCTATTGATCCCCCCGTCAAGTAAAGAAGTCTTGGTCTTTATCTATGATTTTCTGTTTTTGGTTGGAGAATTAATTATATATTTGAGATAACAGTAACATTTATTCTTCTCTTTATTCCTTTGTTTTTTTTTTTGGAAATCAATAAGGTTAAAAATAATATTTGATAATATCACTAGACATGAACAGTGTGTATTGACATCTAAAGATGCAGAGAGAAACAAGGGAAATTAAGTTTTCATTGTTTGTGTGTGTGTATATATATGTGTTTGTGTGTGTTCGTTAAGAAACTATAATTAATTATATTAATTCATTAATTAAGCAGCAAAAAGGAAGCTAGATTCACTTAATTATTTAATGAGGAAAAAGAAGTTGGTCATAGTCAAGGTTTCGGTTTTCATTAGTTTATTAGTATTACAAGTCAGGAGTCAACTGAATTGGATGGAAATCAACTCATTCAAATCATAGGCTACAAACTTATAAGATGTTAAATAAAGCTGCTGCAAGGTTTCTGGCCTCAACCAATTACCTTGATTCATTCACCTTTCGAAACACAGTTACTAGTTTTCCTTCCAGGGATTCCTCCAAAATCACTTCCAGTACTGAATAGGCATAGTTTCGGTATTATTATTATTATTATTATTTGAAGTTAGGGTAGGTAGGCATGGACAGAAAGGTTTACTTTCTCACTTAATTTTCTAAATTTGAACCTTAATTTAGCATTGGGCCAAAAAACAAAAAAAAAAAAATGATTTGAATCTAATGAAAAGTAGGGTCTCAACTTATTTATTTATTTATTTATTTTGTTGATTCACAACTCAATCACTATGCTTTTTGGTCACCCAATATCAAAATTTGTCACTCCTGCAATTAATATGAAAAGTTGACACAAGCAAAGAAGCTTCTTTACGCATGGATTGGAATTAATAAGACATGAACCCAATCCTCCCTTGCTATCTTCTCCTTTCAGACGCTGACTCTGCTTCAATCTCTCTGTTTCTTGCTAGCCTGTATGGCAATTACATGATGGAGCAAGGATGGTCCTGATAATGGTTGGATGGGTAATGGATGTAGGTGTGAGGCGTGCCATCACCATACATGGACCAAACAACAGGCTGCACTTTTGGCTCTTCTTTTTTCTCTTCTTTCTTCTCTCCTCCCACAGCTGACACGCTTACTAAATCTGCATAGCCCATTTTCTTTTTCAGCAAAATTGTGAGTTTTGCTACATCAACTCCATCGCCTACTACCTCTATCTGGCTCTTATCTTGCCCTGCGACACCAGCAGATTCAACCCCTGCATAACGACAAATATATATATATAAACCGATCAGGAAGTTGATCACCTGAATTTTCCCACAAATGCAAGTTTTTTTTTATCAGGTGTTACAATTCTATAACTTCGGTGTATGGAGGACTTTGTTTACCTGAAAACCCAACTGCAATCTTCAAGGCTTTGGAGCGGGACTTCTGGCCATTCAGTGTCACCTTGATCACTACCTTTTGCTGCAATATTTTAGCATAAATATTAATCAGTAACAAGAAAGTAATATACTTGACTCTTTAGTTTATATGAACAAGTAATATTATACTAGTGTTTATGTCACAAACTCATACCTTCATGGTCTTGATTATTGCAGATGATGATGATATGTAGGGAGTGAGGAGCTCTTTCGAGTTCAGGAGAAACCAGAAGTGATGGTTTTTATTTTGTTGGGTTTGGAAGAAACAGGGGAGGGTGTAAATTAATGCTATTGGTGTTTCGAAGATGGGAAGTCTGCGAGGCAGTTTCTGCTATTTATAGAGGGGCTATGGCTTGAGTTTGCGTGAGGAGATTTCTATGCAAGTTCAAGGAATCTCATATTCTGGCTCTTCTTTCAGATTGACAAAGTAAACACATGACACTTCGTGTGGGGTCGTGTGCTTGTCAATGGCCCATCCTTCCTGCAGTGAAACACTAAAACTGTCAAATTTTAGATGAACCAATTAATTTTAATTCCTTTATAGGCAAAAAAACAAGAAAAGGTAATTTACATGGAGGCTTGAAAACTTTCATGGAAAAAAAGGGAAAGAGTCTTGGCTTTAGTTTCTTATTGGCCCAGGTCAAGAGTCAACTGAATGATAGAAATTACATGTATTTGATCAGGACTCATTCAAATCAGATGTATAAATCATTACGGTTCATTCTTATCAAGCTAGAAACTTAGAATTTAGGGAAGAAATGAAAGCTGCAAGGTTTCTGATCTCAACTTAACCTGGATTAATTCAATCTTTTAAACCTTCTGAAACAGAGTAATTACTTTTCCTTGGACGGTGATGACTTGGCTTGACAATTAAACTTGGCATGACTATCGTCACTAGTTCCTCGAAATCACTTCCACCGATTAAGTATTACTGTTTTCAATAGTCTCCTTTTTCCCTTTTTTTTTTTTTTTTTTCCTTTTCCCAAGGTTAGGATGGACGTAAGGAATGTTTACTTCTTTCTTAATTTTCTAAGTTTGAATATTGGATCTTAAAATGGTCTGAAAAATCATCTGAATCTATTAACGTGCAAAGTACTTTTGCTCTTCAATTTTGAGGTGGAGGGTTCATTTTTTTATGGTGCGGAAGGAAAATGAGGAAAAAACAGATAAAAAGCGGTATTCTTCTCAACATGAAAATCAACCACATGAAATTAAACCTAACCATATCGTTAGCTAGGTAATTATTTTATAGTGCAACATTTCTCATCCATAATGGTATTCCTGACTAAGCATTAACTACTCGTTATTTAAAACCTAAGCCATGATCATACATATGATTTCATCTGATTTTCCTCATCAAAAAACGCAGAAGCTTTTCAAAAATAGATGCTTCTTTTGACAGCTAATGAACACAATGCTTTCCTTTGTAGAAAGAGAGCCCGTATATATTCTTTTAATCAGAATTCATCCCATATGAACAGATTTTGAAATAATATATATGTGTATATCTTTATCAAACTGCTATTATATATCTGCTTTTAAAAATTATATTAAAAACTGCTATATATATGCATCTACAAAATGACGTACGTGGTTTAAGAAGAGTCACTAACTCCTTCCCCCTCCTTTTAAGCCTATCCAATGTGGATAATTAAAAATTTAATATAACTAGCAAGTTTTGCTTAAACTAAAAAGATAAGTTAAAATAACAACTATCTACTCTTAAGCAAGAGTCGATGATAAGATTCAGATTTGATTTTTGTAATATATGAAGTTGCTTTAAAGAATTTATTTTAAAAATATATGAAGTTGTATTTTAAAAAAATATATCTTAATTACATCTTAAAAAAGATTTGTTTTGAAATTGATAAAAACTGATTTAGAGACATATTTACTTATCAAGGCGAAAAAAAAAAAAGGTAGGTTAAAATTGATGGACTTGGTCTCCGACTTTAAAGCATCCTAATAATTGGTTGCCAATCAAACGTGGCCCATTTCGAGAAATTATCAAACTGTAGACAAACCAATCTTGGAGAGCCATAGATTTTGGTAAACTTAAGTCTACTGAAGTCTATCGTGAATAATCAACGCTTAAATAAATAATTGATGGGTGGTGGGCCGATTAACCAAATGGCTTGGCGGTGTTTATTTGGTCCCTCTACTTTAGCTTTCAGTTACTTTGGTCCATTTACTATTTTTACAACTCTATTTCGTACTAGTACTACATATGAAAATATTTTTCAAAATATATTTGAGTTTAAAAAGAATCAAATCGATAGCTTTTCAATTCATGTACAAAACATATATATCGCAGTACCAAGCATATACTTAATATTATATAATGTTAATCATATTGTGATTTGCTTCAAAATTGAAAATAAAAATCAAATTTCTCCTACTTCTTATTATATACAAATATGATTTTTTGTAAAAAGTTATATATCGTAGTACCAAACATATACTTAATATGATATAAATTGTTATACGCACAGTGATTTACGTTAAAATTGAAATGAAAAGTAATTTTCCCCTACTTCTTATTACATACAAATATGATCCTTTCATAGAATGTAATTAATGATAGATTTTTAGTATTGTTGATGGAAGGACCAAATGATTAAAATAATAATAATAATAATAACAATAAGGAGGTGGGGAATGACATCAGGACCAAAAATGGTAGAACGAAACTAAGACAAGATTGAGAGCACGAGGACCATCAATCCTATATGCATTTGTCTTTCTCTGATTTGATAAGATTTACTTTGCCATATCAAAGTTGATCCCTGAAGCTCAATTCATCTAGAATCCAACCAATTACTCCTCTATCCTGATCGATTGTAGAAGTCGTTTTCTTATTCGAAAATTTGGGAAGCCTATTAATTAGCTATATACGTAGATTGCCAAAAAAAAAAAAAAAAAAAATCCTAGAAAGGAAAGAATAATTTGATTGTAAGTGGGCTACAAAAGAAGTCATTCATCGATCGTGTACATCTAATCCTGAATGCGAATGTTCAACCTCCGAAGCCAAATAGAGTGGATGGTCATGTGAAACACATCAAATCTCTTAGGAGGTCCATGGACAACAAAATGCCTTTGCACCTGCTTCACTCTCCTTTGCATTCTCAAGTATTGTCTTTGAGATATCCCCATTAATATGTCTTTAATTTTTGGTATGTCTTTCACTTCCACTTGAACAGAAATTGCCTTCCAATTAAGCACATCGCTGAATGGTGGTACATAACTATCTGAAATCAACACAGGAACACATTCTGCATATATAGCTTCCACAACCCTTGGGCTGGCCACTTCATACCCACTAGGGCATAGGCAAAACCTGCTGTTTTTTAACATGGAGTCATATGACATACCATTTGGAAGTTGGTCATAGACTTGCACATCTTGGTCTTTATCTTTCCATTGCTCAACAAGTAGATGCCTGATGTGCCCATGAAGGCGGCCAGCAAAGAATGCAAGAATTGATCGCCGAGATGGAGAGAGACCACCGATAAGTCCTGTAATTTCTCCTGTTCTTAGATGGATTTCTGGGAATGAAGCATCCTTTGAAGGGTTGAACCCTTCAGAAGTATTTGCATTGCATAAAACTCTGATGGAGTTGTGAAACAAATGGGGTACGTAAGAAGAAGTACGCGGCCCCTGTAAACCGAAAAAAAAAAAAAAAAAAAAAAAGCCATTTCAATCGACTATGCTTCAAATAAGTTTATATCAAAACTGATGAAAGGGGAGAAGGCCTTTCTGCTCCCCAAAGTTCAATTTCTTTCTCTCATCCCATTAGATCTGCAATTTCTTTTGGAGTTATTATAACTTAGTCATTGTAGTTTAGCAAAATTAATTAATTAATTAATCCTCATGGTTTCAGAAACTATATATTTAATCTTTATAATACAATCATTTCCTGTTCTTTTCCAGTTTATTTTAATTTTTCATCATAAGAAGTAGTAAAAGGATAAAAATAAATAGATAGATTGAAAAGATTGATGAGAAACAAAGGTATTTTTAAAAGAAAATACTACAAATTAAACATGGTCAATATTTTTTACCTGTTTAATAATTTTTAATAAACTATAGTGACTAAGTTATAATTTACTCTTTGTCTGTCATTTTCAAAAATCTAACACTTGAATTCATCCTGGTCTGAAAAGAAAAGCAGGATTACGTGTCACGGCTTGAGTTAAGAAATATACCTAAAAGAAAAGAAAAGAAAAGTGCATGATATGCTTTACAACTTAAAGAAAGTAAGAACATTCCAGTTTTGGCCGAAAAGAAAATGAAAAGAGTATTAGATCATGCCAATTATCCCCATAATACGTTATAAATCAAGCTAGTAAACTTTTCTTATACGAGTTAAGCGACAGTATTTGGATTTTTATCTTGTAGCTAAATTGTGGGGTGAAATCAAGAGTTGAAAGAATAGATTGCTTACCCAATCATGGCAGGAGAGCATGAAATGATCTGCACCAAGACTTCGATTCCAGAAGGGATGCTTATCAGCAATGACATTGATGTAGTCTATAACAGTATTCCCAATGGCATCAATCTGATGGGAGTCGGGCACAAAGAGGTACTGAACCAACATGACCACACTAAATGGCAGGAAATATACAAGAGCCTCATCAGGGTCCGTAGTTGTATATAATTTGCCCTTCTCCAATTCATGAATGAATCTCCCCTCTGAAGAATATATACTCCTGCATGGACCGTCATGAAACATGGGAGGATCACCTTCTTTGTATATGTATATTTTGAACAGCTTCTCCATCTCCAAATAACTCCTAAAACCAATTAAAACATTGTCAGGCTAAAAATAATTAACAAGAAATTAAGAGAAGAAAGTTGAAGTTGAATTCATTGTGTATTTATACCGATGAAATGCATTCGCATTCCTATATATTGGACCTTGCGGCACATAGTCTGGATCCTCATGGATTGATGTTAAGTTCCGAACTCGAGCAGCTTCTCTTATTGAAGACCTGATTTTAGCCAGATTTGCTTCCATTTTCTCTAACTTGCTGTATCTCTTAACAGCTTCTCTGGCGACAGCAGCTTCAGCATCAGATTCTCCAAGCCTCAATGTGGCTTGATCTTCTGGAATGGAGGCGTCGAAAGTGATAGTATTGTAACTTACAGCAGGATGTTCAGATTGTGCAAAAGAAGCAAAAGCATTGGAATTACCATATAAACCAACTCTCCATGTCAATGGAGAAGGCAAGGAATTAGACCAAGAAGAGGTCTCAGGACCCAGTGTAAAAATGAATACTGATATGACAACTAAAGTTATAACAACTAACAGGACAAGAAAAGGAGAAGAGCCCAGTGATGATGGTGGTGGCGATGGAGAGGAAAGTGACTTGTTATTAGGATATTGCCTCATCTGACCTCTCTACAAACTTTTCAGTATGGCTTTCTTCTCAATTTCAACGCAAATAATACATGGCAAGATTCATTACTTGACTTGTAGCTTAGTTATTCCTTGCTGCACAACAAAATTATTCTATCAAGGTATATATACTCATATATCTACTGAATCATCAGTATCACTGGTAGCCAAAAGGGGCTGTTCCAGTGCGGCTATAGTAGCCTTTCAACAGCACGTTGGCCATGGATCCTTCCTTTGAGTTCACGTCTTCTTCTTAATTCAGCCTGACTTGCCCTGCCTCCAAGGCAAATCCTATTTTGACATTTATATGGCCATTTCGATTTTTTTTTTTTTTTTCAATTTATACAAGAAAGGATATTCATTGTCCGTCGATCTCCTCGATCTCTTTATTAATTCCGAAATGAGACATGAAAGGATTTTTTTTTTTTTCAAACATTGTGTCGCTTTATCTAACATGTCATATTGCCTATTATTTTTTTACCTAACATGATTGTCTATTTTTTAATTTTTGCTAAAAAAATTGACAAAAATATCATTAGTGGGCCTCATTGAAAAAAAATATAAAGTAAAAAAGTGAGGAAAAAAATAAAGAATATAGGGTCATATTTAAAAAATCTTAAGAGTAGAAAGATGAATCGGTGCCACTACAACAAAATTCGTTAAATGGCGACGGAACTAAGTCCGTAACTCGAATAAAAAGAAAATAGCGATAGAATAGCGATTGTTGAATTTAGTGACGGATTAGAGATAGAATAGCGACTGTATTTTAGAGACGAACACAAATCCATCTCTAAATTTGGTGGTACAATCTTTTCGAGTATTTTAAAGACGACTTAGCGATGGATTTACTAGGAAAAATAATGATAGACCTAATATTTGTCACTATTTTCATCCTAATGATTTTGCGACAGAATATCCGTCACTAAATTTTCATTCCCTTACAATTTAGCGATGGTAAATTCCGTAGCTAAAGGAGAGTTTTTTGGACAAAATTAGGGCTAAGCTTTTGACAAACAAAAACCGCCAATGTTACAACGAATACCGACAAATTAAGAGGGATTAGCAATAGACACTTAAGTTCGTCATTGAATGTGAAAAAATGGGTGTCTACCTATTGAAAATTGGGCACCCATTTAAACACGAATTAGCGACGTCCATTGCTAAACAACAATGGACTAGAGATGGGATTGCGTACATCATTAAGTTTCAACCCTAATTTAACCCACTTCTTCTTCCAAACCCCCCCCCCCCCAAATTTTCTTCTCCCTCTTCAAAACCAACAATCGCTTGCAATCTCCCACTCCCCTCCAAACTTCACTCTTCAACTCTCAATCGATTTTTTGGCACTTCAAGTTCTTTGCTACCAAAAAAAATCCCCTTTTTCTTTCTTCCTTTTAGTGTAATTCCACCCGAATCATGTATGTTTTTCTCTCTTTTATTTTCTTAATTAAAGTTAGTAATTTGTCTGTACTTGTTAGGTTAATATAAGTTTAATTACTAGGTTTATAATTGTGTATATTTTTAATTTTTATTTTGTTGATTTATTTGTTAAATTGTTAATTTTTGTTAATAGTTAGGTTATTTGGTTGATTACTTTGTTAAATTTGGTTAATTGTTATGTTAATTAGTTAATTAATTGTAATTTCAATTAAATCAGAATTTTTTAAAATAATTAAGTTAATTTTATTTAAATCTAGTTAATTAATTAGGTTAATTATATGTTTATTTTGTTGAATTAGACTAAATTTATTAATTAATTGTAATTTTGTTAGTTAATTGTCCAATTAATCTTAATTAAATTAATTAAATTGTTAATTTAAATTTAATTTGGTTAGAATTAGAATTAATTAAGTTAATTATATTTATAATTAATTAATTATATTAATTATGTTAAATTAGTTAAATTATATTAGAAAATTTTAATTAATTGTTCATTTAAATTTAATTTGGTTCAAATTAAAATTAATTAAGTTAATTTGATTTTTATTTTTTCAATTAATTAGGTTAATTTTATTTAATAGGTTGAATTAAAACTTTATTTATATTTAAAATTTTTAATTAATTGTTATATAAAATTTAATTTGATTAGAAATAAAATTAATTAAGTTAATTTGAATTTTATTTATTTAATTAATTAGGTTAATTTGTTTAATAGGCTGAATTTAAACTTTATTTATATTTGAAATTGTTAATTGATTGTTATATAAAATTTAATGATGTTAGAATTAGAATTAATTAAGTTAATTTGAATTTTATTTAATTAATTAATTGGGTTAATTTTGTTTAATAGGTTAAATTAAAAATTTATTTATATTTGAAATTATTAATTAATTGTTATATAAAGTTTAATTTTGTTAGAATTAGAATTAATTAAGTTAATTTGATTTTTATTTATTTAATTAATTTGGTTAATTTTGTCTAATTGGTTGAATTAAAACTTTATTTATATTAGAAATTGTTAAATTGGGTTAGATTTAGAATTAATTAGTTTAATTAATTCGTATATAATTATTGAAGTGTGCCGAGATATACCATAGTATATCGAATTCGAGGGGTCGGAGATCCCCGAGAATTGATGATAAATAAGGTTGGCTCCATACTCGTGATGGAGTTTAGAGAAAGAGTTTGTGATTTAATTTCGATAAAGTATCCAAGACAATTGTTGGTCTCGATATATATAATGTTTGTTTGATCATTTGGAATATTTGTTAATTGAGAAAAGTGCAATTTAGAAGAGACTCGTCAAAATTTTATTAGATATTTGAAAAAACTATTAGTTAAATAATTTTTCGCTGCCTCGGATATATAGAAACAAAATAATGAGGTTCAATCATGAATGGATGTGTGTTAGGTGTATAGATGTGTATTTAAAAGATGATTTTGTTAATGGGGTTGAAGAATTTGCTGCATTTGCTATTACTTATCCTAAATGTATGGACTGAAGAAAGTTAAGGTGTCCTTACAATCACTATAAGTGTCGAAATCAAAATTTTTCAAAAGTTCACATTGTTAAATACCATTTAATAAGATATGATTTGTTCCTAGACATTATGACTAGATACACCATGGGAAAGTTAACTCGAGGAGTTATGCTATGTTATGTTGAAAAATTTTTATGAAGGCGAAAGGAGTTGAGTCAACCCTCCAATCCATATGAAACAATAATGATAGATCAAGTTGATTCTTCATTTGATCAGTCCAATACAAACGATGTACTAAATCCCGATGCTTGAGCTTTTTATGACATATTGAATGCAATAAATAAAGAGATTAGGCTCGGTTGTGACAATCACTTTCAATTGCCTGCAGTTGTCCAATTGCTAAACCTTAAATCGAAACATCATTTTTCTAAAAAGTGTTAAGAAGAGATATGTGAGCTGATGAATAAGTTGATGATGGTTGATAACTATAAGATTGATGATTTTTATAACACCAAAAAGTTGGTAAAAAGAATGGGCTTACCGAGTTGAAAAGATTAATTGTTGTAACGGAGGCTACATGATTTATTAGGGTGGAGACAATGAATTAAACGCTTGTAAGTTCTATGAACATTCTTAATATCAAAGTCCTAGATGGGGATTGATAAGAGTAAAACATGTTCCATTTCAAAAAATATATTACTTTTTGCTTATCTCATGTTTGTAAAGATTGTATACATCAAATGTCATAACGAAACATATGACGTGGCACACTAAACATAAGGTTGGGGATGATGGATTCATGTGTGATTATACCGACTATATTATATAGTGGTGTTTTGATTAAATACATCTTTCTTTTAAATTAGAAAGAAGAAATTTCTAATTAAGAGTTTGCACTAACGGGTTTTAACCATTTGGTCAATTTGGTACTCAATATTCTTCTTAGCCGATAATTGTCACGCCTTATAATTTACCACCATGGATGTGTATGAAAAAAGAATATATGTTCTTAGCAGTTATTATTTCAAAACCATCAAACCTAGAGCATAATTTGGATGTGTTCTTACGATCTTTGATTATGGAGTTGCTTCAATTATAGGAAGTATGTGTGATGACCTATGATGTTTATCGAAAGTAGAATTTTCCATTACATGTCACTATGATATGGACAATCGATGACTTTCTTACATATTCGATATTGTTTAGTTGGAGTACCACAGGAAAATTTACTTGTTCTTATTGCATGAAGAATTTCGATGCTTTTGTTCTTCCCAATGGAAGAAAGACCGTGTGGTCTAACAATCATTAAAAGTTTCTACATGAAGATCATCCATTTAGAAGGAACAAGAAGTCATTTACTAAAGTAAAGTTATCAAGAATAACCCTCCTCTAATTTGATATGAAGTGGAGATTTTTCAACGAGATAATAGATTGAGGGTTGATGAAGGTGAAAAAAGAGGGTACATATCGGTATACCAATAGAATATCTCAAATGTCTCGTTAGAAGAAATGAAGTATACTTCAAGATTTTTCATACCGGAGTACTAATCTTATTCGACACAATCTGGATTGAGAAAAATATGTTTGGCAATGTGTTTAACTCGGTAATGAATGTGCCGAGTAAAACCAAAGACAATACATAAAGTCACATGGTTTATTGCTTGATATCATACGGTTTGAAGCCTTGAAAAATAAGTGTTACATGGCTTATTAACTAGAACACACGATCATGTAACTTTATTCTTCATTCCATGTAGCCAAGCTTCTACTCGTGTAGATTTATTCTATAAATCATGTTGAATTTCTTATGTCCGTGTATACCTCACTTGCCTTAGAAACATGGACATGTGACTTTACACTATAAACCATGTGTAAAGCCTACTACCTATATGGTCCTTTTCTTTCTTTGAGTTTTGCTAGGTTTAATCACCTACACGATCATGTGGAATGCTTCGCATGTGTGGCTTTATGTGCTTAAAACTTCAAATGATTTCCTCCTTTAACTCATACAGACCAGTTGCTATTTCCTTAGTTATTTCTCACGGCCATGTAACTCCTCTAAATCTCTTTGAA